GAAGTTGTGGTGTATGGATGCAATGGTGTGCTTCTCCATACAATTATTGATGACTCTTACTTGGCTTTGTAACAACCTGCTACAAAGGGAACCTTTGCTTCCTCCTTCCTTCCCAAATTGTTTTAAAACCTTATACCCCCCATGGACAGCTACCATCCAGCTTCTTGAAGCTTCTCTACTGCCTTAGTTTGCTTTCCTGTGGAGGCTGGAAAGAAGCAGCAGCAAGCAAAATATCTGCTGCAGGGAGGAGATGCTCCTTCCAGGTGGACTGTGGAGTTTGGGATGAGCATCAGACCCCCCGGGACAGGAGCATCACCCCAAAGGGCAGGAGGGGCTCGGCTCCTGGGAGGTGACACGCTGCTGTCACGGGTACCTGTGTTTCTGCGGGTTGTAGGTGGTGTCAGCAGGGCTCAGAGGGTCTCCAGACCTTCCCGTTGCCACCAGAGGGAGAAGGGCTCAGCGCGAGGATAACGGGAGAGGAGGATGCTGTAACCACGAGATGTCTGTGTTTCATTCTGGATGGGGGTAACCAGGCTGGTGTCCTTGCGAGCTGGAAAATGTGAGCTCTGTTTTGTTTCGCTGCCGTGGCAGCCGAGGCTGATGACAATACAAAATTGTTTTCATTAAAACATTGTAGGGGCAAACTTCAACTTTTCATCAGTTGAAAAGTCATGCAGAAGTGTCGGGCTGTGGGGTCAGAAACAAGGAAAGGGGGTCCAGGGAGGTCCTCCCATCAGCTGAGACTTGCCCTGGTTTAAAACCAGCTGCTTTGAGGAAGGAAACAGTTTGCAAATGGCCTTGCAACCTTCCCCTGCTCCTGAAGTTGTGGTGTATGGATGGAGACCAGCTCTCCTGTAGAAATTAGTTCTGGTGATGGATGTGCCCTTCCTAGGAGGAAAAATGCCCCTGTGCTGGAAGAGGAGAGATAGCACAATGCCTCTGAGCTCCTTTTCATTGGCAGCCTTCCCCTGGCACATCCCTCCCCTGTGGAGTTCAGACCCTGCCAGGTGAGCTGCAACTCTCCATGCCTGTGTGTCTCCTGGTTTGCAGACCCCTCAGGAGATGTCCATCAGCTCCTGGGAGCAGGCTGACCATGGGTTGAGACCTTCTGCTCTAGTGGGAGATGAACTGAAGCTGGGACAGTTCAGGCAGGAAATAAGTGACATATTTCCAGCAGTCAACAGTAATGAGTCACTGGAAGAATCTGCCCTGGGATCTGCAAGCTCTTCACTTCCAAGGGTCTTTTGACTTGGGGCTGGATGGCCTCCAAAGGGGTGCTCTGTGCTGGCCACATGCTGAGGACATGAGGATGCTGCTTGGGTGATATTCTCTAGGCAGGAGCTTGGAGAAATGACATTAATGATCTGCAAGCCACTTACTGAATGAGTAAATAAGTGGTTACAAAGCAGCAGTGCAGCAGTTTGACAGGGATGGTCAAGTGTGTGGGACTGTGGTGGGTCTGGGGTGATGTCCAACATGGGGACTTGCTCCCACTGGGTGATGCAAGGATGAGCCTTGCACTGCTCTGGGAAAAGCTGGGATGTGTTGCTGAGGGGCCATTCCTGAACCTTGCAGTCCACGGGGTCCATGTGCCCCAAAGACCACTGGTGATGCACCGTGAGCTCCTGGAGCTCTCTTTAACTTTGGCTGCCCCAACTATTTGGTGTCAGCTTTGCCCAGCCACTGATTCCCTGTGTTTTGGGTGCTCTGTGCCTGCTCTGCACCTGTGAGCCTTTGCTCTCTGGGAAGCACTCCATGATCCCAGAGCTGATAGTTTATTCTCACCCTTTTAAAATTTTAACTAGTCATCTGTGCAGAATATGCCCCTTCTTGCTGCCTGTCAGCTCAAATTTTGCAGACCTGGAAGAGAAAACCCACAGAGAGCCACATGTTGCTCTGGTCCCTGTGAGTGACTCTCTCTAGGAGCCATCCTGCTCACAGCATCCTATTCTAATCCAGGCTCCTTGCAAATCCACTCAGTTGTGAGGCTCTGCTGAGCCCTCAGTGAGGCTGGGCTGCCCTTCAGGTCCCACATCTCACCCCCTCAGCCCAGCTCTCTCCCGTGTGCCCCATCAGTGCCCAGCCTCCAGCTCACCAGGTTAGTGCCCTCCTTGGTGCGCAGGATGGAGCCTGAAGAGCTGGATTTGGTGCTGATTTGGGTTTGTGCTGCCCAGCCTTTACCCAGTCTGTGTGCTTGACAGAGCAGCATCTGTCTGAGTGCCTGGATGTTCCTGCAGTGAGAGTATAGGAGAAAATCTCCATATTTCTCCACTGCCTCCAATTCCCTGAGCAGGTCCAGACCTCTGTGTTGCCTCTTTCCGGCTCCCAGGGCTGTGGGATAATTCTCTGCTAGTCTCTGCTGGGACCATGGATGAGCCCTGTCCCCAGAGAATGGGAGGTCTGTTAACAGATGCCCATCTCTGATGTCTGTGGAGCATCAATTACTGTTTGCAGGTTTCCATTCCCACTTACAACGCTGGATTTGACCTGGTAACCCTGCAGCAGGGGCTCTGCTGCCTGCTCCTGGCTGCATCCCAGCTCAGCCCATTCCCTTGCTGCTGGGGGGAAATGGGGGTGCTGCTCCCAAAGCCATGGGTGTGAACTGGGACCAGCATTAATGGGGGCTGCCCAGGACAGATCCTGTAAGTTCTGCCACTCCCAGTGGGATTTTGGAGGGAAAGAGCATGCTGACCCCTCTTCCTTGACACCCCTTCCTCAACAGCCCACACTCATTATCCCCAAATGAAATAAGATGGCTCTGGAAAGGCCCTCCAATTAGCTGTTATGTAGGAACCTTTGTTAGGCTGTTTTCTGTGCTCTCTAATTTCCACTATCTCCAGGCATCAGCTGTAGGGTTCCCAAGCCAGAGGGAAGCCCAGCATTTCTGCTGCAGAAACGTGGTCCCTCCACCCCTTCTCAGATCCACAGGGCCTCGACATGTTCCCCCCTTGCTCCTGCCTCTCTCCCAGAGCATGTGGACCATTTGTCTGGAAGCCTGGGATGAAATCCAGGTCTTGGGGAGAAGCTGTGAGATGCCACCATCACTCAAGGTGAAGGTGGCCAGATCATGGCTCTTGTCCCCTGCCCAAAACAGTGGGTCCCCTGCCTGGGCTGCTTGTCCAGGGAAGGTGGGAAACCACGGTGGCTGATGAGGGAAGAGCCAGGTCCCCATCACATGCACTGACACGCCTCTACTCAGTAAAATATTTATTCCTCCATTATTTCACAAGAGTTGTTTTTACAAAAGACCTTACAAAAATTTCCGAAACGCAGACATGCAGAAAAAAAAACCAAAACAAAACAAAACAAAAATCCACCATGGATCTTGTTACAAGTAATTGAAATGTACAAATAGAAAGGGGGAGAGAGAGCTTAGATTACAATAATCCCTCGGTCCTGCTACCCCTCCGTGGGTGCAATTTGTATCTCGTCTCGGTGAGTTCAGCACTGACTGACAAGCTGTGATAAGCTGCCAAGAGCACGGCAAAGGAGGGGCCCTAAGATTAGGAGCAAATGTTTTCAAATATATATATACATATAGATATTTAGTGAAGAAATATTTATTCCCTGCTTTTTTTAGGTTTACAGAAACGGCATCTGCAAACTATTAAATGGGTTTATTTTCATTAATGTTCTCAAAGAGGCAGCGACATTTATATCCCTGTGGTTTCATCTTGTATAACCGAAAAAAGAGCCCTGTGCTTTTCCATGGGAATAGGACCCCCCCCCGGGCCTCCTCCTTCTGCCCCAGGGGGTGTTTCTCAGGGTGGGTGATTTGATCCTCAGTGGATCCCTCTTCCCCCTGGCTTGGCATGTGTCTGTGTGCTATGGGGAGCTGCTGGCATGGCAAATGGGGGAAATACCAGCCCTGGAAATAGGGATGGGGGCAGAGCATGGGTATTTAGGGTGACACTCCTCCCTGGATGGGGTGGACAGTGTCGGTCAGGCTGTGCCCTGTCCCTGCCTGCCGTGCTGGAGGAGGAGAAGGTGGTCATTCCCAAATAGATTGAGTGGAGCAGAGAAAGCTGGGGCTGGAGGCAGGATGGAGAGGCTGGTTCACCCCCAGCCAGAGGAGATGTGCTCCTCTCCTTGTTCTCCCATCAGATCTCCAGTTGGGTGCTGGGTGAGCACCCCTGGGTTGGTGCTGTCTGGGGTGCAGCTGAGGGTCCCACATATAGCTGCAGTGAGAGCCCCAGTGGGAATGGGAGAGGATGTTCCTGGGAGCTGTGGGCACTCAGATGGTCACTTTGTAGTTGTGACACTTTCAGCCTTGGTGTCACAGACCAGAGGATGTTTATCTGGAGGAAGCACCTCAGCAGTTGCTCTGTTCATCCTCAGACCTGCTGCTACAGTCCCCAAGCCAAGCCCTCTTCCAGGCAAGTAGGGCTGGTGCCTTCTCTGTCCAGGCCACCCCTCTGAGCTGGTGGTGTCCCCACGCCTGGCTGGTGGCATTTTGTGGTGGGTGAGGAAAAGGTGGCCTGGTTTCCAGAGGGTAACACCTCCATCCCTCTGGCTCGTTCCCCATTGCCACGGGACTGGCAGGGGAAGGCGGAGGCTGCGTCTCTCCACGGCTCAGTCCCATGGGCTGGGGCGAGGCTGCCCCCGCCGTGTCCATCCCCCCACACATCCCACCTTGCAACCTCATTAGGCTGCACGGCAGGGTGGGACGAGGGGGAAACCATTTCCTCTCTGCAAAACCAAAGAAACCTCCCCCCGTGGCGTCGCCGGCCCCAGACCCCTGCTCACATCTGCGGAGCTGCCGACAGGGAGGCTGTGCCTCCGGAAGGCGAAGCCTTCGTTGGCACGAAGCGCTGGGAGCCGCCTACTCAGCTGAAACCCAACAGCTTTTTCCAATTTTCTCTTTCCCTGGGACGGTTCAATGACCTGGGGCTCTGCAGAATCGCTGGCAAGCCCACCAAGGCAGGGCAGCAGTGCCTGCTTGGGGACTGGCGATGCACCCCCGGCTCACAGGAGAGCACACAGGCTCCAAGAGAGGCTGGTGAGATGCTCCAGCCCTCCTTGCTCCTCTGGGAAGGAACAAAGCCTGATGCCATTGAATAGGCTACTCCTAAATGCAGGCAGCACAGTGCAGAGGGCTGGCTGGGACTGGCCGTGGCATGGGTGAGCCGTCAGCTTCCCAAAGTCCCAAACGCTGTGGCTGGGGCTGCGCAAAGAGGTGAACACACAGGTCAGCTTCGGCACTTGTGGTTGAGCACCACAAGTCACAGCCTGGCGGAAAGGGGAGCTCGTGGTCCTCCCACCGCTGCACGTCCCCACGGGAGGAGAAGACCCAAGAACTCTTTGGCTCTCTGGGCGAGATACCCAAATTGGTCAAATCCAATAGTCCAAGATCCTTCCATGTTTGGAAGCAAATTCTTGTTCCCTTGGCAAGTCTGTTTGTCCTCGAAGAGCGCGTGGGGGGTATGTGTGTGTATATATAGCCGTTATTATAAGGGTGTGCGGAAAAGCAAATTTCTAACCAAGTTTGCTCCATATGTGGCTATAATTATGTGCCACTTCGGCCTGGGGACTGACTCTACCTTCAAAAGGGAAGGGAAGAGGAGAGAAGAGGTGCTGAGACACACTGGATGAGTGACATGTGTTGGGCAGGTGGCGGATTTGTCCTGGACCGGCACAGGAGCTCCACGTTGTATCCTGGATGAGGCCACTGGGCGGGCTTTGCCCTGGTCAGTTCACGGTCGGCACCTGGTTCTGATGGAGGCTGAACTCTTTGGCTTTGAGGCGCAGGCTGGCGATGCTGTTGGCCATGTTCACCCCTTGGGTGGGCGTCGCGGTCCCGCTGGAGCTGTAGGAGGGCACAGTGCTGCGGGGAGGGAGCGGGGAGGAATGAGGCGTTGCCCGTGGAGAAGTCCCCATGCCCCTCGTGGTCCTGCCGGCTTCCCAGGCCAGACTGCCCCTTCCCTCTCAGAGATCTCCCACAAGACCAGCATTTTTATGGCTGGCTGGATGTGGGAACCCCTCAAAGTATGCACCAGGAAGCCCTGCCTTGAGCTTTTGGACGAGATGGCTGGTCGTGAACAGCTGGGAACCAGAAGGGACCCATGTCACCTCCTTTGCCGAGATGTGGGAAGGGTCAGCATGAGGCCAAGCAAATCCCTTGCAAGTACCAGGGCCCCAAAATGCATGGAGACAGAGAAGCCTGCTCAGCAACAGGCAGTGGGTGCTCAGAGATGAAAGGGGTTCCCAAAGCAAAGTCAGACAAGCTCGTTTTGGCCCTGTAAAACTCCCTAAATCCCCAGCAGCAGCATAAGGCTGTGTTCCTACAGTGGACTGGTCCCTAGGCAGCCCTATGACCACCTCTCCCCAGCTCCTCCAAAGCCTCCACCTACCTGTACGGGGAGGTGCTGGTCCAGGAGAGATACTCCGGGGTCAGTGCGGTGGGTCGTGGCGCCATGGGCTGCTCAATGGCTGCCTCTTGGCTGTAGGATTTGAGGAGTGATGCTGATCTGTTGGCCAGCATGGCCCTCTCGTTACGGCGAAACTTGGCCCTCCGGTTCTGAAACCAGACCTGCGTGGGGAGGGAAGGGGGTCAGCAGGGATGCCCCAAGTGTCTGTCCTACCGATCGTGGTCGTGTGCAGGATGAAACCAGAGAGGGGACAGTCCCTGTTCCTGCCTGGGGTCAAGGCAGAGGGTGTTGTTTTCTCCCACACAAACCTGTGCTCACCTGGACTCTCGCCTCGCTGAGGTTGACCCTCCTCGCCAGCTCCTCCCGCACGAAGGCGTCGGGGTAGTGCGTCCTCTCAAAGACCCTCTCCAGAGCCTGCAGCTGGCTGCTGTTGAAGGTGGTGCGGTTCCTCCTCTGCTTCTTCTTCCTCTTGGCCGCCCCACGGCTCGGGCTCAGGCTCTCACCTGTGGGGAAAGCACAGAAGAGGCCATGTGAGAGCCAGACCTGTGTGAAACCCCACAGACCCCACAGCCCAGCCAGGCTCAGGCCCTCCTGGAGGTCTGCACTCCCTGCAGGCACCTGGGACTCTGGAGAGAGCAGCGTATGTGCAACCCTGTGGTCACCATGAGAATCTAAACCTATTCCGGGACCTGCAGGAGTTGAGGGTTAACCCCAGTATTTGCAAAGACCTGCAGTGGTTTCACATCTGGCTAAAACCACCTGGATCTGATTTTGAATACCGGTCTCTGTGGATTTTTGGGCAGCACTTGATCCAAACTTGGGACATGCCCACAGGGTGTCCTGGGCTCAGCTCATCCTAAGGCATTAGGTCAAGCTTTCCTGAACAGCCATGGAAATTCAGCACCAAAACACACCCAAGATGAGGGTCTCGGCTCCCACCTCCAGCACCCCCTGAAGCCATGGCATGTCCCCAGGGTGACACAGGACTGCAGCCAAGCATCTCTGCTCATCCAACCCCGGCCTTCAGAGCTCGGAACGAACGGCACCGCGTCTCGCAGAGCTCAGCCTCCACAGTGTTTATTTCTGGCTTTGCTGGCTCATGGAAACATGAAGCTGAGGGTGTAGTTTGGTTTCTCAGTATTGATCTTGGGCTGTCAGCCAGGCTGAGATTAATCTCCTCTTTGTCACTAATATCATAAGGTTTAGGCAAGTTTATGAAGTCTTTTTCCGAGACACCCAGTCAGCTGCCTGCAAAGGCTTCATGGGGAGCACGACTCGCTGTCGTTCTGCCTTATGGAGGTACTGGTTAATGATTCTTTCTGTTAATAAAGCATCTGGATCCAATCTGTACCTACTGGTGGGAAAGCATTTTGGATTTATTTGAAATGTTAATAATTTTATGACATTCTGATTCATAGCAGGGTTATATTGGGGGTTTCTGCTCTATATCATTGCAGGGGCCACGGTGGCAGAACTCACCACTCCCTCAATATGCTCAAGAATTAAATACTTGCTAATAAGTTATCGTGGCACTTATTAAATAAGTGCAGGGTTTTCAGATGATACTCGAGCAACAAACAAAATCAACTGCAAGGGATATTAACTCTCCTGCTCCAAGACACCATCAAGCTGTTGAGCAGGAAGAAACTATGGGTTCCAAGATCTTTAAGGCCACAAAAACCATCTTGGGACCTTAATTCTTAATAATTCAAGCCGCGAAATGTCCACTGCTAAGTTTTGCATCAAGTCCCTAAGGCCCTTTGTGCCTGAGTACACCACTCCCAAGAGCTGTCCCATCCTGAGGACGAGCCATGAAGACCAGAGAAACCCCAAGACCTGCTGGCAGGGGTGTGGAGGTGGGACCTGGCCACCACCACCCCCCTGTCCCCCATCGCCCAGGCACATGCAGGAATGCCACGTTTTGACCATGATGGGGCCAAACTGCTGGGGCTTTGGGAAGAGGAGAGCACCCCTGGGTGTGAAGGGGAGGAAAAGGAGCTCTGTCCCCCTCCCAGGGCCTCGCTGCAGCTACCAGCATTTCTCTGGGTCTTTTATTGTGTTGTCGGTGCATTTGGACCTTGGTTGACCATCCCTTGGGCTGGAAACAGCCTGTGCTCTTGTATTTGGGACACGGCCTTCTCGGTTGGGTAAAGACAGGATGGACAGTGCTGTGCCTGAAATATGTGTGGGTTAGAGGCCCTTTCCCCAGCCAGGAAACCACAGGCTGCCCTTTGCTGCCGATCGTGTTTAAAGGCTCACAAATAAAATTCTCAGGATTCCCTCCAGCCCTTGTTCCTGCAGCTTCAAATGTTCTGCCAGTCTCTGCTTTCCAGTTGCCCCTTTTAGTTAAACTCCTTTTTTGGTCCTGTTTTCCTTCAGCAAGCTAACGAGCCGCTGGATTAAAATACATGAAGTCCAGCCATGGTTGTCCCTGGGTTTTCTGGGAGCCTGGGACTGAAACGGGAACCATCAGGCTGGGAAAGAGCTATGGGATGTACCAGGGTGAGAGATGTTTCCTCATTGGGTTTATGATGACCCTGTAGGGCTTCTGGGGAAATGACAGACCAGAGTTTGGTTCAAAACTTGCCATCACCAAGGGCACCCACTGCCCTCGCTGAACCAGCAATGATTTCAACAGAATCTTAGGAAATGTATAAATAAAATTTATAAACCCCTTTTGGTTTCATCCCCAATTTAAACCTGGCTGTAGGACTTTTCCCTAAGTGATTGCTTCTCTCACCCACTCTAATTTGGCTGAAGGCAAGGAGGAGGCGGAAATGTTTCTTAAATTAATTCTCAATCCAGTTCTGCAGGATCTGGCCACATTTCTGGCTGGTTTCTCTCTCCCCAAACCCATGGAGGGAAGAGCTAAATGGCCACGGGAGATGAGCATTGCTGAGCAATTCCCATATGGGGCTGGCAGGCATGCTGGGATCGAGGTTTAAGACCAGAGTTGGGTCAGGATGTGTCTGAGTGCCAGTGGTTCCCAGGCTTTTTGAGAGCTTCAGACCCTGGGCCATGCCTCAGTTGGGGCATTTTGTTCAGCCTCTATTGCTGGTTTTAATGGAATAACCTTCCACACTTTTTCCAGGCCATCTCTGTATGGCAGGGAGGCAGCTCCACAGTTGGGGGGCCTGCCTGGATCCTCTGCTCTGCTCAGGGATGAGCCTTGGAACAGACCAACACATCTTGTCCCCATTAGCTCAGGCCCTGCAGGGCTGTGGGACCAGATAAATGCCACCCTAATTGCTGGTGGTGTGTGTCTGACAGGTTTACAATGTACAGAGTTGGGCTGGATTGTTTCTGTCAGAAATGCTTTAACAGTCTCAAAACAGCTTCCCAAAAATGAGCATTGCTAAGTTCTCTGTGGCACCGGAGAAGGAATGGGGAAGAGGATGGAGAGGGTGCCCCAAAGACCCTCTGCCATCTCACTGCCATCAGCAGGACTTGGATTTAACCAGACTCTCTGGCACTTTTACGAAGGAATTGGAAACCATTTCCTCACCCCGATGGGCTTCCCAGAATAAGGGTTTGTAACTCCACGAAGTTAAACCCAGCTCACCACCATCTACGTTTTGCCCCAAAGCAGTGCCTGGGGAGGCTCTGGAGAAAGCCAAACCCTTGCCTTTGTCGGTTACAATTTGAGGATTCGTTTGGGGCAGGGCTTGGTTGTCCGAGGTCAGAGGGGCTCCTGAGCCTTCTCCCCAGCCACCTTCACTGTATTTATCTTCCACTGATTACAGTTTGCACTGAAGGGGAAAAAAAAACGCAGGAGAAGGGGGAAAACCGGGGGATAACATTACCGAATAACGAAAGATGACGTGCGGGGGAGGATGGGGAGAGGGAGGTGCAGGGGCTCTGCACAGAGCAGGATGGGCCCGGACTTAAATTGCCCCAGTGTGTTAGGAAAGACACGAGACTTTCCCCCCATGATGTGGATGAGTTTTGGGGTGCTGGATGTGCCCTAGGTAACCCCCAGCCTCCTCTCTGGGCTGCCCAGCCCCAGGCAATGCTGCCTGCCCAAGAACTGCAGCCAGCCCGGGGGCAGAGCTCTGCCCTACGGGTGCCATGGGGCGCTGGGAGTCACCCCAAGCCCCTTCTCCATGCGGGAGCACCGACGCTGGCAAGCCTGGATCACACCCCACGCCGTGAACTGGGGAGTGACGGGTCCTGCCCCGTTTGCAAAGGCAACAGCCCCGTGGGGCAGAGCCAGCTGGCTCAGCTGGGCACCAACCGAGCCCACTTTTCCAGCTCTTGCCTTTTCCCTCTGTGTTCCCATTAGTTTTCCATAGGAAGGACTCGCTGGGCTTGCCAAGGAGGGCCCCCACGCTGGCAGGGCCCCCAACCTCCCGCGCAGCAGCCGCCGAGTGCTGTAAAGAGGTAATTTTCACTAATTTCCACCGAGGCTCCGACTCTGACTTACGACCTCCATTAGCACACGATAAACGGCCTCGGTGCAGCTGGGAGCCAGCCCCAACCAGTGCTGACATTCCCAGCTGCTCACACGCCTGAGCCACAGGGACACAGCGTCCCTGGGCAGGGATGCTCCCCTGCGATGGCTTTCAGGGATGGGCTCCATCACCATCAGTCTCTCTGTGGGGTGACTCCCCTCTGGACACCCAGTTTCTGGGGTTTCTCTGCAAAATGCTCATCCCAGAGCACGATGTCACCTCGCCCGACTGCCAGCCTGTCTCTCCCCCAGATGATGCTGCAAACCCCCTCCGTGTGCACCACCACAGCCTGGGAAAGATTTTGCTGCATCCAGCTCTGACACTTGGCTTTGAGGTGCAAAACCCCCCCTTTTTCAGGGACCAGGTCATAAGGGAGTGAGTTCAACCCTCTCATGCAAAAAAGCCCAGGCTACATCTCCCCCAACGTGTTTCATTTTCCATTGTGACACAGACCCCGCAGCCCCCAACAGTTTTCTGCCATTAAATTATTTCACACGTTCCATTTATTTGCGAGCAGTTTGCCAAAGACATTTTAAGCTTTAAATTTTTCACACCCCCCCGGCCAAAATGATCAAATCTGCCGTACCATTTACTTCCCTTCTCCGCCTGGAATGGTATTTTTTTCCCCCTCTTTTCTTCTCGGATATAATTTAAGGGTTGAAATAGCCTGGAGGGAATTAGCTGTAAATTCTTCCTAAGACAAATAAATTCAGCCCTCTAAGTTTCTACGTTTTTCAAACTGTTGAGAGACGTTTTGGGTTTGTTTTACTTGAAATAATGATCGTGGCATATCTGACCCTCAGGCTGCGGCCAGCTCTAACTAAATAAATAGCTTTTATTAATTAAGGTTTATCCTTAACAAATAAAACCCCAATTTGATCTCGGCCGGCTGAATTAGCAAAAATAAACAACGGGTTCTCCGGGCACTTGATGTGGATTTAACAAATTAACGCTGGGCCTTCATCAGGGAAGCCACAGGGTGGTGGAGGTCTTTTACAGCCAAGAAATCCTTTGGAAAAACAATGTCTTTCGTTTCTCCCATGGTCTCTCTC